TGAAGTGTGAGGCGGGGTGACTTACATTAACTTTTTTAGGAAGGCCTTTGTCACACTGCCCTCTACTGACCAATCTGTTCCTTACACTTGGCTTGAACTGGGATCTTCCTAGCCGGCACATTTACTCCATTGAAGTGGATTAACAGGACAATTTAAGGGCAAAACACTAAAAATAAATTAATACAGGGTCGCACTGTATTATCACTGGCTATTCTGGAACTCACCATGTAGACCAAGTTAATTTTGAATTCACAAAGATCTTCCTTCCTTGACCTCCCAAGTGCTAGGATTAAAGGCAAGTGCCACCAAGCCCCACAACATGTATAGCACAGGCTGACATAGAACTTGTGGTCCTCCTGCTTCTGTTTCTTCAGCATAGTGTGTGTCACTGCAACCGGCCCTTTGTGATCTGTATGCCTGAATGAGATGGGCTGTCCTTTCCCTTAGGGGTTATCTGATTTAGCTTTAAGTACTACTTTCTCCCAGTGGTCTCTTCCTTCCTTTTTTTTTTTTTTATTTTGTTTAATTTTGGTTTTTGCTTTTTTTCTGGACAAGGTTTCTCTGTGTAGCCCTGGCTGTCCTGGAACTCCCTCAGTAGATCTGCTTCTGCCTCCTGAGTGCTGGGAATAAAGAAATGTATCACCATGCCTGGCTCTCTTTCTCTCTCTCTCTCTCTCTCTCTCTCTCTCTCTCTCTCTCTCTCTCTCTCTCTCTCTCCTTCCTCTCTTCCTTCCCTCAGCTTTATTTGTAGGATGGAGAGGTAACTCAGTGGTTAAGAGCAGGCTGCTCTTCCAGAAGAATGCAGTTTGATACCCAGCACCCACACATCAGCTCATAGCTGTCTGTAACTCCAGTTCCAAGGGCTCTGACATCCTCTTCTGGCTTCCAGGGCATCAGATATACAGACATACAAGCAAAATATTCATATACATTAAATAAAACTATTATTAGTCAGGCAGTGGAGACTCGCGCCTGTATTCCCAGGCCACAGGGCAACTTTGTGGAGTTGTCCTTGTCTCCCACCTTTGCATAGGTCCTAGAGATCAAACCTTATGTGGCAAGTGTCTTTATCCATGGACACATCTCACTGGCACTTCTCTTTAGTTTTCTGAGACAGTGGCTCACTTATGTAGACCAGGCTAGCCTGGAACTCACTGTGGAGCCCAGGCTGACCTAGAACTCTTGGCTGGCCTCCTTGCCTCAGCCTCCTAAGTTCTATGTGCTTACAGAAGTGAACACCAGGCCGGGCGGTGGTGGCACACGCCTTTAATCCCAGCACTTGGGAGGCAGAGGCAGGCGGATCTCTGTGAGTTCGAGACCAGCCTGGTCTACAAGAGCTAGTTCCAGGACAGGCTCCAAAACCACAGAGAAACCCTGTCTCAAAAAACCAAATAAATAAATAAATAAAAATAAATTAAAAAAAATTAAAAAAAGAAGTGAACGCCAACAATCAGCTTTCACACATTCCCTTCCTCTCTTTCCCTGTCATTAGAGTTTTAGTAATCATGTTGCAGATGGATGGAAACTGACTTTGTGATTCTTTCTGACTGAATCTAGACAAGTAGGTGCTGGGACTTCGACACAGAGGGGGCGGTGACATTCTGGCCAATTCCCCCATTTCTTGCATTGTATCCCTCTCTTCTCTGCTCACTACTCTTTACCTTTGCCCTAGTTCACACAACACTTCTTCAGAAAAACCATAAGAATACACACTTTCTTTTTCTTTTTTTTAAGTTCAAGATAGGGTTTCTCTGTGTAAAAGACCTAGCTGTCCTGGAACTCACTTTGTAGACCAAGCTGGCCTTGAACTCAGAGAGATCCACCTGTCTCCACCTCCCAAGTGCTGAGATTAAAGTTGTGTGCATTTGCTGAATCCTTTGGATCTAATATCTTTCTTTGAATGGCTTAGTTCAGGGACTGGAGAGATGGCTCAGCAGTTAAAAGCATTTGTTGCTCTTCCAGAGGTCCCCAGTGCAGTTCCAAGCAGCTCACAATCACTCATAACTCTAGTTCCAGGGGATTTGACATAGTGGTAGACTTACACAAACAGACATATGTATACATATACGTGTGTGTGTGTGTGTGTGTGTTAATCTTACAAGTAAGTTTCTAGTCATAATTTGGTGATAGGATTCTAAATTCAAAATGACTTGTTCTGATTTGATACAGTCTTCTGTCATATAACCACAAAATAATGGGTTATTCCACTTGAATGGACTCTGGCAATTTTGACAATACACTGAAAAGACGATTCTAGTAAATATTTTATAACTTTTAACACATTTAGTATTTTCGCTTTGGATAAGATTCTTGGTAGACCAAAACATAAAACAAAAAAGAAAAAAAAAAAACAATCCAGAGGCCTTGTTATGGAGCAGGCATTAGAAGCATTCTAAAATTTGGCTTCAGGAGGAATCAAGATGCGAATCAGCCATCTTGACTAACATCCCTGGCAGGGCAATGCTGTGCATTTTGCACATGATGCGTTCTGATTTAAAGTAAGTTTGGCTTTCACCGCCTACTTACTGATCTGGTATATGATTTTACTATGTCATGTTTTGTTCTGCTTGTAGCCCTGGCTGAACTTGAACTCACAGAGATCACTGCCTTCCAGTGCTGTGATTAAAGGCATGGACTACCATGCCCAGCTAGGAACCATGGATTTTCTACAGTGTAACTTCTAAAGTAATTTTACCTATTTGTTTAGGGGGGTTGGGTTTGTTTGTTTGTTTTTCGAGCCAGGGTTTCTCTGTATAACAGTTCTGGCTGTCCTGGAACTCACTGGTCTTGAACTCACAGAGATCTGCCTGCTTCTACCTCTTGATTGCTGGGATTAAAGGCATGCGCCACCACTACTGGCTCATCTATTTCTTTTTGTCTACACTAAGCTCTTGTTTCTTAACTTGATTCATAGTTGATGCGCCATTTAAAAAAAAAATCTACTTGTGTGTGGCACAGGTGCACAGGTACTCTCAGGCCAGGAGAGGGCACTGGGTCTTCTGGAACAGGAGTTACAGGCTGTTGTGAACCCCCTGGCAGATCTTCTGTAAGAGCAGGAAGCACTCTTAACCGTCAAGTCATCTCTCCAGGGCTCTGCGCACTTCCACCTCTTGAGACAAAGTCTATGTAGTCCAGGCTGGCTTTGCACTTACAGTAATCTTCTCGTCTCTTCCAAGACCTGGAATTACAGCATGTGCTACCATACCTGGCCCTCTTATGCTTTCAGAGAGCAGTTTGTCTTCCTTTAAATTCTTTTTCATGCTTATAAAAATATGACCAGGCAGTGGTGGCACATACCTTTAATCCCAGTATCCGGGAGGCAGAGGCAGGTGGATCTCTGTGAGTTCAAGGCCAGATTGGTCTACAAAAGGAGTTCCAGGACAGGCTCTAAAGCTACAGAGAGAACCCTGTCTTGGAAAGAAAAAAAAAGTAATAACTAGACATATTCTATACAGTGAATGAGTTCCAAGCCATCCAAGACAACAGAGCAAGGCCTTGTCTCAAACACAAACAAACAAAGAAAGAAAAAATGGTAGTAGAAATGGAGGCAATTTATTAAGAACGAGGAAGGAGACAGATAGTGGGAAAAGGCATACACTCTGTACGAAACACCATGACCAAAAAGCAAGTTGGGGAGGAAAGGGTTTATTTGCCTTACACTTCCAGATCATAATCCATCACTGGAGGAAGTCACAGCAAGGAACTGAAGCAGGTTTGGAACCTGGAAGCAGAAGCTGATGCAGAAGTCATGGAGGGGAGATGCTTCCTGGCTCCCTTCCTCAGGCTTGCTCAGTTTACCTCTAGCCCAGGGATGGTGCCAACCACCATGGGTCCTACCCATTGATCACTAATTAAGAAAACTCCTTATGGCTGGATTTCACAGAGGCATTTCCTCAAATGAGACTCCTTTTTTTTTTGTTTTGTTTTGTTTTGTTTTTCGAGACAGGGTTTCTCTGTAGCTTTGGAGCCTGTCCTGGAACTAGCTCTGTAGACCAGGCTGGTCTCGAACTCACAGAGATCCGCCTGCCTCTGCCTCCCGAGTGCTGGGATTAAAGGTGTGTGCCACCATCGCCCGGCTTGAGACTCCTTTCTTTCTGGTGACTCTAACTTGTGTTGAGTTCACACACAAAGCCAGTACATACTCAAAATCCAAAACACATTTCTCTTTATTGGTGTGGGAGGTTCAAGGCAGAGTTTCTTGTGTATTCCTGCCTGTCCTAGAACTTGCTCTGTAAACCACAGAGCCTCGAACTCACAGAGGTCTGACTGCACCACATTGCCCTGCTAACATCTTATTTTCATTTATAGGTTGTTTGGGAATTGAACCTACAGCCTTTTACATGCTAAGCAACTGAGGTTGGATCCAGGATATTGTGTAGCTAGGCTGGTTCTCAGCCAATACAGACCCAGCCCTACACAGAAATCTTAGGACACTATCGGTCATTTCATTTATTTTTAATCTATGTATTTATTTTTGGTTCTGTATTTTTAAAAATGATTTATTTATTTTTATTTTATGTGCAATGGTGTTTTGCCTGCAAGTATCCGTGTGAAGGTGTGGGCTCCCCTGGAGGTAGTTACAGGCAGTTAATGTAGGCTGCCATGTGGGTGCTGGGAATTGAACCCAGGTCCTCTGAAAGAACTGCCAGGGCGCTTAGCCACTGAATCAACCCTCCAGCCCAACAAGGGAGGTGGCTCTCATCTTCCACCGTGTGGATCCTAGGGGTGGAACTCAAATCCTTCACGCTTGGAGGTAAGAGCTTTTACAGGCTGAGCCATCTCAGGGACTTTATAGACAACACTAAAGCCAAGGGCAGAACCCAAGGCACACAGACAGAGTAGGAGCGACTTGACCGCTAGGGGGCTCAGCACGCCAGGGGCCTTCAATCGAACGCGGCGCCGGGGGGGCGGGGACAACCGTAGCCCGCCCCCCGTCTGCGGCGCCCTGTGATTGGAAGAGGAAGCGATTATTTAGTAGCGCCGTTGGGGTGGGCGGGAGAAGAGGGCCGGTCGAAGGTGACGCGGTGTTGGCGGAGGTGCGGGGCTCCGCGGCACTCCGGGCGGTGGATGGCGGTGGGATGGAGCCCGAGGGGAGCGGCGGCGGCGGGTCGGCCGGGCTCATGCAGCAGATCCTCAGCCTGAAGCTCGTGCCACGAGTGGGCAATGGGACCCTGTGCCCCAACTCCACTTCGCTCTGCTCCTTCCCAGGTACGCCCCGCCCCGCGCCTGCGCATTGCGCACCTGTAGCCGGCCGTCCTCTGGGCGAGGCCGAGGCAGCCTCGGAATCTCCACCCGGGTCCCTTGGGGCGACGCCTCTCCTGTCCGAGGGACTACCCCTAAACTGCCTTCGCGAGCCTGTCTGCTGACCCTGTCCTTTGACTCTGTCCTACCCCCATCTCCGCTCCTGCTTGTCTTTGCAGGAATCACTTGCTCAAACCTGTTGCGGGTTCTCCCACCCACATCTTGAAGAACTTAGACACAACTTCTGAATTGCTCTTACCTCCCACTTCGCCGCCTCCTGACAGGAGAGCTGTCAAAGTTACTTTTACACGGTAGAACTGCCAGTGTTCAGAAAGTTGTAGGGAGGAGAATCACCTCCGCGGGTATCAATAATAAAGGCCTTCAGGGGACGGTATGATTATTTGCTTTGGATTTTTTTTCGGGGGTACGACAGAGGGGGGATTTGGGCGCCCCAGCAAAGCTGAAACATCGTACAGGGAGACGGGCGGGATTGCATGGTAAGCCAGGCACCTGTGATTTCTCATCCACGGGGCAGCGACTGCCAGGCACCTCTCGGAGGACACCTGGGACCTGCCTGTGTAGTAACTGACAGAGTGGTTATCTGTTTTCGCGGCAGTTAAAGATGTTAGCTTGTGATCCTGCCTAAAATGAGAGTCCGGAAGCTCAGATTGTTTCCAAAAGTATTAATATCACACCTGACAGTGATTAAAAATAAATAAACAAAGATGCACACGAATCCCTCTCTGGAGACGCTTATGTAGAGTTCATACTTCCCGAGGATTAAATCAGTCTGTTTTTTATTCATTTTCTTATTTCTCTTCAACTATTTAGGAATTTTCCAAACCTCAGAAATTGGAACACAGTATAACAAATACCCATAAGTTTATGTTCGTTGGTAAAAGTCACACATTGCTCATTAGGCAGTTGTGAGACCCATGTAGTTGGGCAAGCCTATATGGCGGGCTACTGTAGATTATGGGGCCACAGTTGAAGAGTTGGCTTGTGTTGATGAAAACTTCATTATGCAAAGCATGACTATTTTGGTTCTTGCTCTTTCTCTGTCACGCCTATGTCCATGTGTATACACACCACATTTTAACTTCCTGAACTGCAGAAGTCATGACACTGTCAGCTCAGAACTTCCGAAGCAGACGTTTGTTCTTTCATAGCCCCCAAATCACACTGCTTCTAAAATACTTACCACTGATAAAGGGATGTTAAACAGGCCTTATTTACATTTCTCTTTGGGTGTGTGGGCATGAGGGCAAGTGCCCCCCCCCCAGGTGAGAGGCGGGGTTACAGGTGAACTGGTTGTTAGCTGTCTGACGTGGGTCCTGGGAATCCAACTTGGGTCCTCTGGAAGAATGGCAATCACTCTGAACCCCTGAGCCATCTCTCCTTTGTTGTTGTTAATTTTGTTTTTGTTTTCATTTGGTGGGAGAAAGAAGCAATCCATTCAGAAAGAAAAAGACAGATGGCCTAGTTGGCTGAGCAAAGGGCTGTTAAAAGCTTTGCTAAGCCCGGGAGCTTAATCTCTGCTGAGTGTGGTGGCTCAGTACTCTAACCCCAGAGCTCGAGTCAGGAGCATCAGATGTTTGTGAGTTCAAAGTCAGCCTGGTCTACATAGCATGTTCTAGGCCAGCCAGGGCTACATAGACTTCGTCTTAAAAATAAATACAAAAGAATCCCACATTGCATTTGATTGTCCCAACTCTTTAGTATTGTTTACACCAGTGTTTATTTCAGTTTTTTGTTTGTTTTTTTGTTTGGATACTAACCTGGAACTCCCTGGGAAAAGCAGCAACTGCTCTTTTTTTTTTTTTTTTTTTTTTTGAGACAGGGTTTCTCTGTGTAACAGCCCTGGCCATTCTAGAACTCTCTCTGTAGACCAGGCTGGCCTTAAACTCCTCTGCCTCTGCCTCCTGAGTGCTGGGATTAAAGGTGTGTGCCGCAACCACCACCTGGAATAGCCACAACTGCTCTTTACTGCTGAGCCGTCCCTCCAGACTCCCTTCTGAAAATGTTAATCTGCAGTATGTATTTGAATTCTGTTCTTCAGTGGATATGACACTGGAGAGTAAGTCCACCGAGACTCCTGCATCAGGTGTCCATCTGGCCCAGTGTGGGCTCCAGGCTGGAGGCATAAAAATGTGTGAGGGTAAAGCCCTCAGTGATCACCACGTGCAGATCCCAGGGGCTAATGCAGTACCCGCAGCCCTTGGCCTCAGGTTGGCCAAGCTCAGCAGTAAACGTATCCGCTCCCTGCGGTGTCTCATTTTTATCTGGAATTCTGGTTATAATGGGCACTTGAAGCTGAACCCTAGTTTGAGACTCGCAAGACCTCACTAGGAATCTTACTCAGGGTCCTGAGGCTGCTTTCCTCTATTTTGGTCACACAGAAGAAAAGATTTCTCGTCATTTATGCTAACTCATGGCAGATCATGCCCTAAAATATTTTGTGGTTTCCCTGTACTAAAAAGCTTTGAATTGATTTTTTTCTCTTTTAAAAACCCGGCCGTTGCAACTTAGCCATTTAGGATTCTGCCAAATTCTCATCCTGACTTGCTCAAATTTCTTTTGTTGTTTCTTTGTGCTTGTTTGTTTGAGACAATGTCTCATCATACAGCTGGGGTTGCCAGAGAACCTGAGCCTTCCTAGAGCTGAGGTGAGGGCCTGCTCCACCATGTCAGCCTTCCTAGAGCTGAGGTGAGGGCCTGCTCCACCATGTCTGGCTTCCTAGAGCTGAGGCGAGGGCCTGTTCCACCATGTCTGGCTTTTAGTTGTCGTTTGTCCCAATCAGGAATGACATTCATTCTCTGAGGACAGGGAATTCACTAAAGTGATGTCAAATGGAGCAACACTGTTGTCGCAGTCAAGAGTAGAATCAGCTTGGAAGTCAGCTATTTATTCCCTGAACAATATTTACTGATTATTGTGTACCTGTTTATTTTTATTTTTAAGGTTTACTTTTACTTATGTGATTGAAAATATATGTACGGATATATGTGGGGGCCAGAAGAGGGCACTGAATCTCTGGGAGCTGGAGTTACAGGTGGTTGGTTGCCCAGTGTGGGTTTTGGAATGTGAACTCTGGTTCTCTGCAAGAATAGCTATAGGTCATAACCGCTGAGTCGTCTCCAGCCTTCCTGTTGTACTGGGGTATCTGTAAGAAAAGGCCTGGACAGACAAAAGCCCCTCCTGTATGGGTCATTGGTTCCATTGGAGAGACAGAGAAAAGTAAGGACACCATACCTGGTGATGAGGATGAGGCAGGATAAGGGGCAGAGTAAGTGGCTGAAATGTGTCAAGGGATGGAGTGCTTTTTACGTCAGGTGATCAGGGCCTGGTATGGTGGCACACACCTGTAAACATAGCTCTTGGATGGCTCGGTAGGACTGTTGTGCATTTGAGGCCAACCGTCCTGAGCTACATCCTGAATTCAAAGCTCTCCATGAGACTCTACTCTTCCATTGTCTGAAAGCGCTGTGTGTATGTATGTAATTATGTATGAATGTATGTATTTTGCTCAAGATTGAACCCAGGGCTTTGATACCACCAGGAGCAGAGTAAATGCAGTGTGGGCATGGTGTCCTACTTGTAAACTTGGCATCTGGGAGGTGAAGAAGGGGATCTCCAGAACAAGTTGGCTAGCTAGACTATCGGAATTGGTGAGCTTTGCATTCAAGTGAGAGACTCTGCCTCAAAGTATAAGGAGGGAGAGCAATCAAAGACGTCCAGTGGCAATCTCTGCCTCCACACATGTGCAGACACATGTACATGCACATGCCCCCACGTCCACACAGACAGAGGAACATATAAGGAGAAGGCCCTCCCCGATGTGACCCATCAGTCCTGGAGTCGCCACCTTACAGAACCTTGAGCCAAACAGCTTGTGTTCCAGCAGCAGAAAGCCAGCAATAGAGCTGCCAAGGAAAACACAGCTGATAACGCGCTGGCCTTGAAGTGAAGAAGAAGATGTTCTAAGACAGGGCACCATTTCACAGTGTGTTGAGCCAGGGAATGAGAAGAACTCTGCATCGATCAATAAATAGCTATTAAACAGTTGGTAAATTAAGGTGCAGTAGATTAAAAAGAAATCACTTAGTTTTTTTTAAGTGTTTTATAGATCTAAGTTTGCTATAGCCTTTAAAATTATGTAATCATCCCGTCTGAGAGTGTTTTTATAAACTACTCATTTAATGCCATAAAGCCTTCCTTCCTCCTCAAAGTGTTTTAAGTAGTAGTGTACATGGCCCTGCAGCAGCTAACACATAGACTCAGGCTGTGACAGTTCCACAGACTAGACATTTAAACAGCCAGTTGTTTACTTGGTTCTGGAGGCTGCAGGTCAGATCTGGGTGCCAACCAGCTTCAGGTAAAGGTGAGAACTTCCTTCTTGCCTTTCAGAGAGCTGCCTTGTTACTGTGCCTTGGGGCTGGGGGCAGGAAAGTTGATCTTCTCCTCACAAAACAGTTAAAGGTAATGAACACTTTAATCCCAGGAGTCAGTAGGTAGAGGCTGGCGGATCTGTGGCGGATCTGTCCCACATAGTGGGACCCTGTCTCAAACAGCAAACCATAGTGCTGTCAGAGTTTAGTGTGAATTTGGGTTATTCTCACCTTGCTGGTGTTGGGCTATCCCCGGGTGGTTCCTGCTGTGTGTTCCTGGAGGCACATCTATGTCCATTTGTTTGTCCACCGTGGGGCAGCAGCTGTCCTGCAGCCACCGCAGCCGCCACCTGCAGGCCCCGTGTTTCAGTGGTTATAGTTTAAGAGTGATGGGAGTCTAGCAGGAAAAAAAAAAGCCCCAAAATGGTTTGACCTTTTTTTGTTTTATTTTGCTCTGCTTTGTTTTGGGACAGTATCTGTGGCCCAGGCTGACCTCGGACTCATAGTGATCCTTCTGCCTCGGCTGCCCAAGTGCTGGGGACTACGGGATGAGTTACTATAAAAGCTTTGCCACCCTTTGTAGCTGCAGATGGTCCCCAGACCAAACACTGTCAATCATTAGTTATCGTCAGCAGGCTCTGAGCCCAGATGGGGCATTTGTGAGATTTTCTGAAGAATTATCCAGGGGACTGGAGAGATGGCTCCGCTGTTAAAAACATTGACTGCTCTTCCAGAGGACCCAAGATCAATTCCCAACACCCACATGGTAGTTCACAACCATCTGTAATTCCTGTTCCAAGGACTTCTGGCCCCCTTGGGTACCAGGCATGTCAAACACATACATGTAGGCAAAGCACCCATACACATTAAAGAAATATTTTAAAAAAATCACCTAGCCCTTAAGGTCGCAGGTTCAAGGTTTCAGAGACCACAGTCTGTGGTATGCTGGATGCAGTGTTTGGAGGCCTGTGGTGAGGCACCGTGTCCTGATGGAGCAGAGCTGCTCACCCAGTGGCAGCCAAGAAGCAGGAGGAGGAAGGAGTCAGGGCAAGGGATAGTCAAGGACCCGCCCCTGGTGACCTACCTAGGACCTACCCCCTGCTTTCCACCATCTCCTGGACCAAGGCTCCAGTGTGTGAGCCTGAGAGGGGCACTTCATATGCAGGCCTCAGTTCCTCATGAGGTAGTCCCGCCCACCTGAGTTTTTAATACCCTAATTAATAGGACATGGTAAAATTGCTATTTATTAACTTATTTTAAAGCAGTTTCAGTTTGTAGATATTTATTGGCTTGTGCTGACATAGTCAAAATATCATTTAGGACCTAATGGACTAGCTTGCCTTGCTTTTTTCCCCCTCTAGTTTGCAAGTAGATGCAGCTTGTTGGGTTGGTCTCCTTTTTCTGTGAAGGGCCTACAGATTTCTCTTTTCTAAGCTCTGTAGACTATCGGTGTCTACCACTGATAACAGCCTTGTTCATGTTGTTGGAGAACTTTCATTGACTGCTCTTAGTGAGCAAGCTTGGCTTCAAAGAGGTCTATGTCTATTAGCCTACAGATGAGTTTAAACTAGCCCTCAGCAGAAACAGGAGATGCTGCGAGTGTAGCTTGTGAACCCTTCAAATCCCATCCCTGAAGCCTGGCTTGTAATACCTAAGCAAGGGAGGCAGGAGCTTCAGAGTTCAAGGCCAGCCTGAAATCCTGTCTCACTAAACCAAGGGACTGGAGAGGTGGCTCAGAGGTTAAGAGCAATTGTTGCTCTTGCAGAGGACCTAGGTTCAACTCCCAGCATCTACATGGTGGCTCACAACCACTCCAGTTCTAGGAGATACAATGCCCTCTTGTGGTCTCCATGGACACAAGCATGTACATGGTGCACATACAGACACATATGGTGGCACACGCCTTTAATCCCAGCACTCTGGAGGCAGAGGCAGGCAGCTCTCTGTGAGTTCGAAGCCAGCCTAGTCTATAAGAGCTAGTTCCAGGACATGCTCCAAAGCTTCAGAGAAAACCTGTCTTGAAAAACAAAAAACAAACACCAACAGCAAAACCACTAGAGAACAGCTAAGTGCTGATGAGAATGGGAACAGAGGGCTTGGCGATGTGGCTGGGCCTCACTAGGACAGTCAGTGACTCAGCTTCACCTTTCTCTACCCTCACAGAGATGTGGTATGGTGTGTTCCTGTGGGCACTTGTGTCTTCTGTCTTCTTCCATGTCCCTGCTGGATTACTGGCCCTCTTCACCCTCAGACATCACAAATATGGTAGGTTCATGTCTGTAAGCATCCTGTTGATGGGCATCGTGGGACCAATTACTGCTGGAATCTTGACAAGTATGTTAGACATTAAAATACCAGTCAAAAACTTGTAGTGTGTGTGGTCACTTCATTTTAGAAATATGGGAGGGGACGGGGCGGGGGTGAGAATTTAGCTTAGTGGTAGAATGCTTGCCTACTGAGCACAAAGCCCTGGGTTTGGTCTTTAGCACTGGGAGGGAAAAAAGTGTGTTGTGTGTGTGTTGCATGTGTGCGCACACACAGTGAATTCTAGAGAGTTATGTTAGCTTGTTAATTATTCCTTTTTGGGTTTTGCTTTGTTTTTTGTTTTGTTTTGTTTTTTGACTCTCAAGCCCCTTACCTGGCTCTTTGGCTTTTCAGGTCAGATTTGAAACTTTGTGAGGCAGGCCACTAGCAAAATAGAAATATCTGCAGAAGCAAAATATGCAGAAGCTTCAGCATCTTTTTGTTTCAATTTGACTTGACTCTTGCAGAATGGTTCCCTAATTGCTACACTCTTTTGGGTGTGGTTCCTTTAGGGATGGGGAATAAGTCTATTGATAAGAATTCTTGATTAGAAAGATAGATTGAGGGCTAGGGATGCAAAGCTGAGTGGCAGAGGTGACCCAGTTTCTGAGGCCCTGGGTTTGACCCCAGCACCACACACCAAGGAAGGTCTGATTTGTGGTTTTCAGTCCGCCATGCTACCCCATGTGGCAAACTTTTCTTGCTGGACTATCTTTGGATTTCCAGCCCCCAAATATCAACACATAGGCTTATTATTGGTTATGAAAGCTTGGCCATTAGCTTAGGCTTGTCCCACTAGCTCTTATAACTTAAATTAACCTGCTTTTATTAATCTACGTTCTGCCACATGGCTTGGTTACCTCTGCTCTGTACCAAATGTCTGACCTCTTCCGTGTCTTCCTGGCTTCTCACTGGCGTCACCAGGTGTGCCTAGGTTCCACCTCCTCTCTTTCCCTGGAAGTCCCACCTGTCCTCTCCTGCCTAGCTATTGGCCATTGAGCTCTTTATTAAACCAACCAGAAAGCACCTTGACAAAGACATATCTTCACAGTGAACAAAAGGATTATCCCACAACATCCCCCACCCCCAGACTTCCTAATTAGAGACTGGAGTAACAGTCTCTAATTACTTTCTTTCTTTCTTTCTTTTTTTCTTTCTTTCTTTCTTTCCTTCCATCCATCTATCCATCCTTTTCTTTCAGGTACCATAGCCGAGTTTCTCTGTGTTCTAACTGTTCACGTAATGCTGCAGTATCCACACCGAATATCTGGTCCCTAGACGAGTCTCCTGTCAGTAAAGCAGGGATGCACTCCCCACCCCACATCCTTGAATGCTGATTAGATGAGATGTCTCCATGCATAGTCGATAGAGTACCTGGCACAGTAGTTGGCACACAGTACTGAATATGTGCTCAATTCCCTTTTTAGGATTTGGGGTAGTTTTTTTGTTTTTCCTTCCTATTCTCTGTAGTCTTCTCCTTTCTTCCCTCATCATCCGTGTCTCCTGTGAAGACCCAGATCAAGTTCCTCAGGCTTCTCTTTTCTCTTCAAGGAAGCTCAGTAACAGAGGCCCCATGAAAGTTGTGCTCTGAGACATTAGTGGCATTGATTGCCACTGGAGGCAGAGTTAAATATCTTGCCCTGTTTGCTTTTAAAACACATTTCTAATATCTCATGTCACAGTCTAAGAATGTATAGTCTTCCTTTCTTTTTGGGATGCTGAGAACGGAAGCCATGGCCTTGTGCATGCTAAGCATATGCTTTATCATTGACCCATGCCCCCATCCTACCTGTAGACACTTGACTGAGTCAACTGTGTTCTGTGAGTTCTGTGAGTCTCAGGTGGATAGCTGGGTCAACACCCGTGTTTGTGCAGAATGTTAGATGGTGGGGGTGTCTGGGTCTACACAGGTGTTTGTGCAGAATGTTAGATGGTGGGGGTGTCTGGGTCTACACAGGTGTTTGTGCAGAATGTTAGATGGGAGGGTCTGGTCTACACAGGTGTTTGTGCAGAATGTTAGATGGGGGGGTCTGGTCTACACAGGTGTTTGTGCAGAATGTTAGATGGGGGGGTCTGGTCTACACAGGTGTTTGTGCAGAATGTTAGATGGAGGTGTCTGGGTCTACACAGGTGTTTGTGCAGAATGTTAGATAGCGGTGTCTGGTCTACACAGGTGTTTGTGCAGAATGTTAGATGAGAGGGGGGGTCTGGTCTACACAGGTGTTTCTGTGCTGTGCTCTCACTCTCCAGGACCTTGTAGTGACTGTAATAAGGAAAATAGTGACCCGGGAGACAGAAGGGACCCTGAGGTCTCTGCCCTGGTGCCCTTTGAATAGCTTTATGACTCAGAATCCTATTGCTTTCTTTCTCCTTTCTTTCTTCCTTGAATGGTGGAACCCTCAGTATAATAGCAAGTGGAGCTGGGGTTCCCTGTGGAACATTTCTTTTTTTTTTTTTTAAATATTTACTTATTTATTATGTATACAATATTCTGTCTGTGTATATGTCCGCAGGCCAGAAGAGGGCACCAGATCTCATTACAGATGGGTGTGAGCCACCATGTGGTTGCTGGGAATTGAACTCAGGACCTTTGGAAGAGCAGTCAGTGCTCTTAACCTCTGAGCCATCTCTCCAGCCCTGGAAACATTTCTTGATCTGTCTCAGTAGACTGCTATTCATTGCCAAGAACATAGTTGGTGCCCATTCAGTGATAGGCATGGGGTTAGTTGGCACAGGAATGAAGAGAAATGTTGGCCCACAAGGGAATTGCTGCCTTGTCTTTCCCTTGACTGTCACTTCTAATCACTCAGTAGATATGAGAGCCTCAATCTTAGGGAGTACAAATGTAAATGCTGACTGCAAACCACATAAAGAAAGTTAGTGTGTTCACCAGAAAGGATGGGGAACACAAACTTCTTCCTTAATTAAATGTAAAAAGTTTGTCTCCCAATAGTGAAATTTTTAAGTGTTACAGTTTTGTGATGTCATTAATCTCAGGTTTTGTTTTACTAATTAATTTTTTTCTCTTTTAACACAATTCCATCTGAACCAGGTGCAGCAATTGCTGGGGTTTACCGAGCTGCAGGGAAGGAGATGATCCCCTTTGAAGCCCTCACCCTGGGCACTGGACAGACATTCTGTGTAGTGGTGGTCTCTTTTTTACGGGTTTTAGCCACTCTATAGCATATGGCCTTTCCCTGTGATGGCACAGCTGCCTTTTATAGACTCCTTCAAAGACAGAGACAGTGTCGTGGTCTCTTCATTCCTCAAGTGGAAGCAACTTGGAGGCGCCAGAAGGTAAAGAACACCGCAGCTGTTTCCTCAGTGTGAAGCTCCAGCCACTGAAGACCCCTGTGGACGGACTCCTCTCTTTCTCAGCCAAACCAAGCTCCTTGGCTTTCTCTTCTTGTGGCTGTTTAGGTTTTACATGCACACCTTTACCTAAGCCAACAATGCCTGAAGTTTGCATCTTTCGAACAGGAATTTGCATCATTATTTGCAAATATGCAACATTGCTGTTTCATAGAAACAATGGACAATGTTGTTTAGTTTTAAGGGCGTAGGCTGCACTGTACTAAAAGCGTATCGTCATGACAGTAGGCCGGGTTTCCTGGGCTGAGTATCGCTCTGGGAACGAACTGGCTGAGTGTAACAGGAAGAAGACCTGAAGTCCAGTTCAAAGTAATGGCTTTGCTTCCACTGTCAAAAGTAGCTGACCACTGAGAATGTGACGTTTTATGGATAACTATTTTTGACCTCTGATTATTTAATATATTTTAAGAGATGTGAATTTATCATTTGATCAAAATAAGCTAGCTAATTGAGATTTCTTATTTTTTTTAAAGATACAAGGTCTTGCTTTGTTACCCAGGCTGGCCCAAACTCCTGGGCTCACGTGATCCTCCTGAGTAGCAGGGACAGTAGCATCACTGTCACACCTAACTGAAGCTCTTTTTCCAAAGAATTTCCATGATGCCTTTACCTGTCACCTTTAATGCTATCCATTTTATTTATTTTCTCTGGAAACATGTTCTTAAGTGGCTTGAGTTGGACTTGAGAACCAGATAGGTTAAGATACTCTTTGGACATTCAGGCAAAATAAGACACTTACAGGATTCTGTTACAGTTTTCTTCCTGACTTTAGTTTATTTGATGACTCCAAAACTTGCAGCCGAAATGAGTTAGGGGCCATTGGTTCCTTTCATGTTTACCTAGCAGTGGTCCCTCAGCCCACTTTTGCAGTATTGGAGTATCAACTCCCAGAAAGTGCCTAAAACTTCCTCTTCATATACATCCCATCTGGTCTTTTTATTTTTATTCAAGAGAATTTTTATCCTTAAAGAGACATAGTTTTAAACCTAATTTTAGCTGTTTTAGTTTTTAACTCTACTGCTTATCCTTGTTTTTCATTAAAAAGGCCTGTAAACTGTGACCTTCAGAAGGGAAAGGGTGTAAATGTGTGCACCTTCCATCATTGTAACGGTTTTGTAAAAAGTACAATGTTCTTGTTGTTACCCGTTTTCAAAGTAGCTTCTGGTAATTAACTCTGACATTTTTAAAGGCAAATTTTCATTGAGAGATTAAGGCTGTCATCCTATGAGGACAAAAATGTATCTTAAAGTAATATGCTTTTGGCTTCTGGTTAAAAATAGCCAGGAGGCGGCCAGCAAGATGGTTCAGCAGGTCAAGGTACTTCCCCTCTAACCTAAGTTTGATTCTCAGGACCCACATGGTGGAAGGAGAGAACCAACTCCTGCAAGTTGTCCTCTGACCTCTATATGCTGTTCACACACACACACACACACACACACACACACACACACACAAATTGATACACGTAATTAATTTAAAAGAAAATTTTTTAATAATGAAGAGGACGTCTGTGGGTGCCTGCACTTATGTGCACACACTCCCTGTCCCCCACGTGCACAGCATTTTAAAATGAGATAAAATAGCCAAGAGGGTCAGTTTACCCAGGAATGGCAAGGGGAAAGATGCAGGGATGGCCGCAAAAAATAACTGGTTCTTCCCACTTGTTAAAACTGTAGTGACAGATCGGCTTTGGCAGACAATTAAAGTGCAAATAAATGGCTCTTAATATTCACCAGAAATAAGAGCAAATTTTTCTTCCAACAAAAGCTTTTCATTTTTGGTCTCAGGGGCTGTGAATTTGGAAAGCGTTCTTTCGGTTGGAGAAACTGGAGCGTGGTACCCTGCATTCTGGGAAATGACAGCATCGTCTATGGAAGGACGCCTTAGAGTCCTCACTAAACATTCTTGGGGATATAATTTCACACCCTAAGCACATAGATGAATCAGTGCTGAGCTGTTCCCCCTAAATAATAACTTCTGAACATATTCACCCATGATTAAAATGTTATTATTTGTATTTACAACCAAGACACAAAAGTTAGGGGGTTCTGAAGGGTGTTTTTGCTTCCATCTGATTCTTGTGTATATTTTATCTGCTCTCTAAAAAAAGAAAACCAAAAACTTGAGCTGTAAAATGTATCTTCAAATTACCGAGTGTGTCCTCTAGCCCAGTGTGTATGAAGCACTCTTTGTGAATAAATGCATATAAACTATAGACCGAGCTTTGTGAAGGCTTGAAATGTTCTCAGGAAAGAACTGTTTGGATGATAAACAAAGAATGATTTCCACTTTGATCCCTTTTTTGTCTTCTTCCTCTTGTCTCAAATGCAGATTTATTTGCATGGTTGTGTTAAACACATCTCCTTCTACAGTTTCTCCAGGTGTTGTCTCCCTGTAAGGGCTTTCTTGGACCCTGATTCCTGCATTTACGTTGTCCAGAGGTCAGAGGACAACTTACAGGAGTTGGTTCTCTCCTTCTCCTTTTCAGTTCTAAGATAGCGAGGCAACCCCCAACCAAAAAGCTGATCTTTTGGGGCTAAAAATTCAGTTCATGAACAAAAGTGTATTGATTGTTATGTGAGCAAGATGTACCTCTGGGCTGTTAACTTCCTTTGGCACAGGATGCTCCTCAGGAAATGCCGGGGCTAGTGAGAAGCAATTCGTGCAGATAAAGGCATCCTTCCTGTGTCCTTTAGGTTTTTAAATTGTATGTTGGCTTTTGATTCCAGTGCCCTTTTGACTGCCCTGATTTTCGTTAAGTTCTTGTGACACCACAGGACACGCTAACCTTCCCTAAGGAACTGGCTGTTTCCTGGAATGTGAAGCCCTGGTGCCGTTAGTGGTCCATGTGCAGAAGGTTTCGTGACCTCGTGTTTCTCTCATGTACACTATGTAAGGCTGGTTATGACCAAAATCAGCTCAACTTTTTATATTAGGTGATTGCTCTTAACTGTTATAGTTCAAGCGATCAAATCTTTGTACATTAGAAACTTATTTAAATTTTATTTTTCTACTGACATTTCTAATGCTAGTATAAATGTTTATCAAATAAAGAATTACTTTAAATTCTTTGAGTTGGGATTGTATTTTTAGTTTGTTCTGTCTTCCCACATCCAATAGGCTAGGCTGGCCTTGAACTGTGGCAGTCTACCCCTATGTGCTGGTATTACAGCTGCAACTACCTCACTCCGCCCTGGAGTTGCTTTTTTCTTTTCTTTTAACCTCTTCCCCAACCCCACTTATTTATTTATTTTTGGGCAGGGTCTCACTATGCAGCCATGACTGACCTGAAACTTGTTTAAGGCTATCCTGAAACTCAGATCTGTTGACCTCAGCCTCCCAAGTTCTAGGATTAAAGGCTTGTGCCATCGTGACTGGATTCCATCCCCACCACACCTCCCATTTTTAATTTATTTATTAGTGGGAGCAAGGGCAGATGCTTGTCGTGGCCTTATTGTTAAGGACTGTTATTGTAAGGTTAAGGACTGTTCAGAAATCAGGTCTCTCCTTCAACCACGTGGGTCCTTGGGATCAAACTCCAGTCAGACTTGGTTACGGACCATTTTGCTAGCTCCTGGAATTACATTTCTACTGTAATCTTTTATAATAAAATTATGTATGTTTTAACTATATTTTTCTTATCTTCAACTATTTTTTTTTTTTTTTGGTTTTGTTTGTTTGTTTTGAGACAGGGTTTCTCTTTGTAGCCCTTGCTGTCCTGGAACTTACTACTTTGTAGACCAGGCTGACCTCAAACTCACAGAGATCTGTCTGCCTCTGCTTCTCAAGTGGTGGGATTAAAAGCATGTGCCACTACACTTAGCTACAATTTTTAAAGCGTACAGTAAGTACACAGATCTTGACTGTACAGTGCATATGTGTGTATGTGTGTGTATTGAGTATGTGTGTACTTATGTGACTACTAGTCAGATAGATCAAGAGACATGTTTCTAGACTGGTGGTGGTGGTACATGCCTTTAACCCCAGCACTTGGGAGGCAGAGGCAGGCGGATCTCTGTGAGTTCGAAGCCAGCCTGGTCTACAAGAGCTAGTTCCAGGAAAGGCTCCAAAAGCTACAGAGAAACCCTGTCTCAAAAAACAAAACCAAACAAAAAGAGAGAGAGAGAGAGAGAGACAGAGAGACAGACAGACAGACAGACAGACAGACAGACACATGTTTCTGCCATCCTGGAAGAATACAGAGTATCCGGACAGTCAGGGTTCAACTGAAAGTCCCCATGACTGTATGGACCTGAGACATAATGAAAGGAACTTTCAGGGGAGCTGGAGAGATGGCTCAGAGGTTGAAAGCACTGACTGTTCTTCCAGAGGTCCTGAGTTCAGTTCTTGGAAACCACATGGTGTCTCTCAACCATCTGTAATGAGATCTGGTGCCCTCTTCTGGCAGGCAGGGATACATGCAGACTGAACGCTATACATAATAAATAAATAACTTTTTTTTTTTTTAAAAAAAGGAAGTTTCAGTTTCCATAAAAGTGACAACCAAGCTTGAATGTGGAAACTGGAAGATCAAGAGCAAAAGGTGCTGAAATTGGCAGGGATGATCCCTTAAATCATTGCCAATCTAAAATAAGGCAGAGTGTAATTGAGGAAAGCATCCAGTACCAACCTACAGTTTCCACATATGCATGAGCACAGTCACACACACACACACACACATGCACTTATGTGCACCTGTGAATATGTGTATACCACATACAGGTATACTTTCTCAGATAGGTATGGCGACTCAGGCCAGTGATCTCAGTGCGCAGATGTAAATGGAGATTGCCTGTTCGTTTCCTGGCCGCCAAGAACCCAATAATCACACAGAAACTATATTAATTACAACATTGTTTGGCCTGTTAGCTCAAGCTTCTTATTAACTAATGCTTACATCTTAAATTAACTAATTTCTATTAATCTATGTATCACCACAAGGCTGTGGACTACTGGTAGGTTCTGGTGTTTTTTTTTTCTTTTGACAGCTACATGGTACCTCTCTGACTCTGCCTACTCTCTCTCTCTATTTCTGTTCTGATTTCCCACCTGGCTTTGCTCTGCTGAACCATTGGTCAAAACATCTTTATTCATCAATCAATAAAAGCAATACATACACAGAAGGACACCCCACATCACTCAGAGTCGGAGACAAGAGTACTGTCACAAATTTGAGGGTAAGTTAGGCCATTCTGGGCTACAGAGGCTCTTTCTTAAAAAAAAAAAAGAATGGAAAATGAGAATCTCATAACTACTTGACACTATGCAGTAGTCTCATACTGGCTGGGAATTTTAGGTGGGAATCAGACCTTCATACAGTGTTAGGAGAGATGAGGGAGCATTGCTGGTGAACTTTTTTGGAGCCTCCCCTCCATGATGGGCTACACGATTGGTCACAGGGATGTTAATAATATCCAAGGATAATAAGGCCAAGAATAGTGAAATTCAAAAGACTATGTTTAAGGGTTTCTATTATCCTATTATTTTCAGATACGTCTGTTTTAGGGCCAGCAAGATGTCTCAGTGCATAAGGACACTTGCCACCAAGCCTGCTGACTTGAGTTCAATCCCTGGGACCCACAAAGTGGAAGGAAAGAGCAGATTGTCTTCTGATCGCTGCATGTTCATGATGCAAGCACATGCAAGAGGACACACACACCAAACAGAAAGTTTTAAAACAAAGGCCTGTTTCAAGGAATCTTAGCCCTAAATGTAAGAACTAAAACTCTCCAGCCTTAGAAGGAATCCGACGTAAGAGCCATGATTTTGGCTTAGGCAGTTTTCTTAGAATACTCAGAACGTTCAAAGAAGACACAATAATAGATAGACTAGACTTCATCAAAACTAAAAATTCATGTTCAAAAGGAATTTGCTGTGGGTTTTTTGCTCCCTCTCACCAGCGGCTGGGTCGGGGAGAGGAGGAGGGAGTCGTGATGCGTTTCCCAGGAAGCAGACTCCAGAGACCAGATGGAGCTGCAGATCTGGTTCAATGTGCATGTTCACTGGTATATATGCAAACATTACCAATCAGTTCAGGTCATATCAAATCACTGTTCAATCAGTCCAAATAACATGCAATCCGTGGTGTGTGTGTGTGTGTGTGTGTGTGTGTGTGTGTGTTGGGGGCAGTAAGTCCAGGCAGTGTGTCTGCAGACAAAGGGCAGGAAGCAGGCAACGCCCTGAGTTTTGGCGCCAAATTAGAGGGTCTGCAGTTAGCTGGGACTCCATCATGAGTCATCTGGTGTTCCAGAGACTCAGGTCCTGCGCAAACAGCCGCAGGAGGTGTTGGCGTGGCTCACACCATCTGTCCTTTAATGACACCATCTGAAGAGAGACTGACCCCTCAATTACCAAGAAGTGCAAAGAGGCCTCAGGAAGATTGGAGGAACTGTTTTCTCTCTCTCTCTCTCTTTTTTTTTTTTACGGTTTATTTAACTTTTATTTTATGTGCATTGGTGTGAAGTGTTAGATCCCCTGTATCTTCAGACAGTTTTGAGTTGCCATGTGGGTGCTGAGAATTGAACCCAGGTCCTCTGGAAGAGCAGTCAGTGCTCTTAACCACTGAGCCATCTCTCCAGCTCCGGAGGAACTGTTCTCTAACCAGAGATATGGAAGACATATCCAGGATACTAAAAGTACTTATGTTGTCACTAAAACCTGTTGTAAAATGGGCGAAAATTCTGAGGAGACTTGGCGTGTGTGCGAGAGAGAGAGGGTTTCACTGTGTATCACTGGCTGGCCTGTAACTCACTGTGGGAGCCAGGACTGGCTTTCAACTCACAGAAATCTGTCTACCTCTGCTAGGGTTAAAGGCATGGACTACCACACCTGACTGAAAAAGCATTTTTTTTTTCAAAGAACATACACAATGACCAATAAGGACATGATATTTAACATCTTTTGTCATCAAGGAAATATAAATCAAGACTCTAACAAGATGCCATTTCATAGTCTATAAAAAAGACAACATAGGGTGTTGGCAAGGATGTAGACAGAGAAATGAGTTCTCATATGCTGCTGTTGCTGCTGATACAGACAGGGCATCCCCTTGGAAAACAGTCTGGTAGTTCCCCAAAAGGAAAAACATTACATGAGGACACAATTCTGTTGAAAACACCCTTCTAAGGCAACCACGAAGACCACACACTGGATATTCTGTTTAAGTGAAATGTCCAGAACAGGCAAATCCACAGATACTGGGGATTGGGTGGAAAA